TTTTTTTTTTCAAATTTCAGGAGCTGTGGCAGTTGTAGCCCACATTGATCACTTAGATTTGCATGTTGCGAGCACGGGCGATTGTGGAGCAGTTCTCGGCATACAATGCCCCGAGACAGGGCAATGGCAGGCGAAAAAATTGAATACCGAACACAATGCCGATAATCTCAAAGAGGTGCAACGTATCTTAGAAGAGCACCCCAATGAGGAACATGACACCGCCATACGCAATGAGCGATTGTTGGGGCAATTGGCTCCTTTACGAGCTCTAGGTGACTTTCGTTACAAATGGAGTAACGAAATCATGGACAAATACGTCGTACCTACTTTTGGAGAGCATTCTGTTCCACCACATTACTATACACCGCCTTACTTAACAGCGCAACCTGAAGTACAACATCATATACTGAGGCCAAACGATAAGTTTTTAGTTATTGCTAGCGATGGTTTGTGGGATTTTTTAACACCATCGCAAGTCATAAGTCTAGTTGGCGAACATTTAAATTCAAAAAAGGTGCTAGAACCGATGAAGCTGCCTACAGGAGAAGTTACATTGCTTGAAGTATCCAAATTGCTAGCTGAACGGAAGTAAATAGAATAATATTATAAATTTACAATTTTTGATTGTCGTATTATATTCGTAGAGCTGGACGCGCACGCAAACCTTTGGATCAGAATTCTGCCACACACCTGATTCGAAATGCGTTAGGTGGCACCGATTACGGCATTGAGCACTCCAAAATCGCATATTATCTTTCATTGCCGCAGGATGTAGTGCGCTTGTATCGTGATGATATTACAATTACCGTCATCTATTTCAATACGGAGTACATAACAAAACTCAATGCCGAGACATAGACTACAACTCGAATCAGGGCTCGATTTGGGGTATTCGTCGTGAGCTTACTGCGAATGACCAGCGATTCAGGCCCAGTGCTAAAAACTAAGCATACCTCAATGTAGTCTGTGACACGAAGAACTAAGCCATCCTCTACACTTTAAATTGCTCTTTTAGATACATATATTTGTAAATATCTAAACCTTTTTTATTTACATTTTGGGAAATTTAGTTTCCAGGTTAACATAAAAAAATCTTCGTTCCTTTTCAAGTGCTATAAATTATGTTAGTTTTTAATGATAGTTTGAAATTTCAGTCTTACTTAGCCCGCTGCTTGTTGCTTTAGTTTTTAAGGCCAATTGTGAAAATAGAACGGTGATATAAAATCAGCTTTTTCATTTAATTATGTAATATATAGCGCATAAAGTAACTGCCGCATTTTCTTTTTTTTGAATAAAAGGATTTATTAACTTTATTTATATTAATTAATAGGGGTATTCATTAAAAGTGATAAACTGCTGATAAACTTGATAAAATGATGAATTTATCATTTTGACAAATGAACTGTCAAACTTTGTATGAAAATCTATTCACCCAAAGTTTATCACTTTATCAAACGATTTTGATGGATAAATGCATAATGCAAAAAAGAAGGTAGTTCCTTCAGTGAACAACTTTTCGATTAAAATGCAGATTTTTGACAACTGCTCAATTGTAAAAATTCGAAGCGGCGTTACCCAATTTGAGTTTTTTGGTAGAGGGGATTTTATATCATAAATTTGGAATTATATATAAAGCAGGTGAATTAACATTTACCTTTTAAAAATAATGCATATCTTATCTTAAAAATGTTTAAATTCACATTAAGTTCGATAAAACCTTGCAAAAACTTTATATTTTGGTTAACACAATTTTAGTGAAAATCCTAGTGTCTTTATGCCAACCAAATAAACAAAAAAACAAAAGAAAAGTGCACTCTGCTAATGCATGTTGAAAAGTATGTAATTACTTGTTTCGAGTGGATGCTAATGAATTTTGATCAAGTCACAAAACGCCTAAAAAAGTATTAGCCGTTATCTTACGTTTAAAAATTTTAAGACTTATGGCGGCCTTCCGCGATGCGTCCGGATGGCATGAAGCGAGTCGCTGCGGCAGTGATTACCCTGCGGAACTGGTGTTCGCGAGCGTGTGCGTCTGAAGCCGTTCCAATCAGCTTTTAGTCTGTTCCAGTAGCAGTCCGATTTGCAGGATTTAGTCAGAACTTACAGGAAGTCGTTCCTATTGACATAAAACCTGTAAGTGGCAACACTTTTGAAAGAGAAACTGAGCAACTGTTCCTAGTCAGAAGTTACAGGATTTAGTCGGGAGTTTTTTTTCCTGTAACTTCATGAAAAGTGGCAAATTATTTGTTGAAGTTGGTATACATATGTTCGGTCGTCCGCGGTTGCAAAGTCGGTGGGCTTATGGCAATAAAACGTCCGCCGAAGGCAACTCGCCTGGGCGAGTCGTTTTCTTATTACCTGAGTCGCTTTCTTATCGCTTGGAACAATATTTATTTTTTGTGTACAAAATTGGAACTTAGAAACGGAATCAATTCTTACTTTCACTATTATCAATTATACGCTTTTGGATAATACTCTTGACGCGAAATTTATAAGTTTGTATGATTACTGTAATCGTAATCATGAAAAACCTGATTAGGAATACCGTAATTGTAATACCAAAAATTTTAAGATTACAATTACAGTAATTGTAATCATGAGAATTACGATTATGAATACTTTAATTGCAATCCTAAAAATATTATGACTACAATTAATGTAATCGTAATCCAGAAAACGTTGATTGCGATTTCCTGCTATTCTGTAGAAGTTTAGTAGTTACATAAATGAGCGTAACTTTCCCCGAAAGTATGAAGAATTGATTGATTACTACCATTCCGCAGGGCCTGTATTCAAGCCCGGTTCAACCCAGCATTAAAAAATAAAGAACCTAAAACGTTTTTTTCTAAAAGCGGTCGCCTCTTGGCAGGCAATGGCAAACCTCCGAGTGTATTTCTGTCATGAAAAACAGCTTGTCTTAAAAATGCAATCACCTTTCGGGTCGGCGTAAAACTGTAGGTCCCTGCCCTTTGGGTGACAACATCAAGGTGGACCGTTAATCAAAATCAAACTTTATTGGAAATACTGGGACCACGAGTCTGTGCAGAAAATTACAACAATTTCAAACAAATGTGCGAGTTCATAACTTAAAACCAATATTTGCTCTAAGCATAACTAATTTCTCGATTACTGTAATCGTAATCATGAATTGCATGGTTGCTATAACTTAATTGTAATCCTAAAAATTTAACGATTACGACCACTGTAATCGTAATCCTAATTTTCAAGATAACAATTACGGTAATTGTAATCTTAAAATTTTTAGGATTACGATTACTATAATCGTAATCAAAAAAAGTACGATTCCGACTACTGTAGTCGTAATCGTTAAATTTTAAGGATTACAATTAAAGTATTCGCACTCAAGCATGTTACAATTACAAATAAAGTAATCGTAATGCTGAAAATTTTCGGGATTACAATTACAGTAATCGTAATCCTAAGTAATCAAAATGAAATGAAATATTAAAAAAAATCTAAATTATCTTACAAATAATGGAGAATTAGATGCCTTGAAAATTGATAATTATAATGGACTTTAAAAATGTGACCTATAGATACGGCATCGTTTAAACGCTATCATCACCATACAACCGTTTTAACAAAATAACTGATTTATCGCGGTTTCGGGTTAAATAACAAAATTATATCAGTTAAAAATGGCATATGTACGGTATATATATAATTGATGCCTCAAAAAACCTTTCTTTCCAGCACTATTTTGTTGTATGTATTATTTGCACTATTAAAGCAGTAGAATTCATATTTCATTATATTTTACAACATACATACCACATGTATTAATAATAATTGATAAAGAGCTCATTATTTGATTTTAATAGTATTCAGAAGCATTATGATGCGCATTAGATACACACAACATTTACATACAATTCTTAACTACACAGTACATGTTTCGATTTTCAATAAAAATTTCAAATTGTTAAACATTAAATTTATTAAATTTTCGCTTACTGATGTAGTATTGATGAATCTCCTCCCCCACCTCCGTTGTATTTGCGTTCAGCTTCATGCTTTTGAACACAATTAAGAAACTCCACCTGCATTAGCGTTATTTCTTCCTTTGAAAAACGTTGCATTTTTTGCTTTAGGAATGCAAAAAACAAGTCCAACTCTTCCCGCGACTGTCCATTATAGGTCATAGAAGTAGGTGACTGCAATTGCAATATGGATGAAGTTGCTGTTTGCTGCTGTGCAATATTCGGATTGGTAGAGCTACTGCTCACAACCACAGGGGTTGTAACAATTGTCGATGTTGCCAAATTTTTCAACTTGGTTCCACCAATTACACTACTATTACTGCTACCGCCGCCGCTTTCACCTCCTCCACCACTTGTACTTGGTAAGTGCGGAATAGACTCGATGCAAAAGTCATTCATTGAGTAGGTGAACGAATCGGCTGTTGAATGAGTGTGATGGTGATGATGAGAACTGTTAAAAAAGAGATACTTTTTTTACATTAAATTCAACAAAATACGAAATAATTTCCGTACGTAAAATTTTTCGAATCTGTCGAAGAGCTGCGCACTACTCCGCCTGCCCCAATTATAGTTTCACAATCGACACTGGGCCCGTTACCAGCCTCTTCATACATGCACACTTCTTCATAGTGGACCTCAGTACCATTTGCGTCATCTAGTGAAGAGCCATGTTCGTTCTTAACAATTTCCTGCACATCTTCGACATCATCATCATCATCATGCGTCAATTCCATATGAGAAGATATGCTTGGATCTTCGTGTCCGCCATGGTCGATAGTGGTAACATCATCAGCAACGCTCTCCTCATATGTGGTGAGTATAAATGTCTCATCATCGTTTACCAAAGTAATGCCCGAATTCGAATGATGCACAATGCTGCCCTCGATGTGATCTTCCTTTAAGCGTGTTGAGACACTACCTCCAAGATCATGCAAATCGGAGCGCTGTGTATCCATCATGTAATTTTGGTGACGTTGGGATTTTAATTTTGGCTGATATACGGTGGAAAGGAATTCTAATTCTTTCGCATACCGCCATTTGGATAATCCGTCGCCAAGTTTGGGCTTGCGCAGCCGGTATTGGTGGTAGGTATCTCTTAAGTTTTTCCACTTGCGCCGGCATTCCTCTACCGTATATTTGTCTAAAAAATAAAATTTATATAGCATTCTGTGGAACGATTGACAACTTTTACAATGGTTGGATTACTGTTAACTACCACTTACTTCCGATCTGTGCCGCAATGTCTGCCCAACCGTTTAATACATCAATCCGCCGTCTTTGATTTGGTTGTAACTTGTAGTTGTATAGTGCGGGATTTTGGCGGACCAAGTGTATTAAAGTTATTATATCATCTGCTGGTGCGGTATCCTTTTGATAGCGTTTACGCTCGCGCTCTACACAGTTAAAATTATTGATAGCAGATATAACGGAAGCTTAGTCTTGGGTGGATATATTGGACTTACTCATGGTTTGCATTTTGCAAAAGAGTGGATCCGGTTTTTGTTTAAATAGTTTCGTTTCTCGGTTTTAAATTCTCCTCGCCAGTGCAATGTAGCCACTCGGTACTCGCTGACTTTGTTGCGAGTTGGTTACCACACAACTTCCGTTCGTTTTCATTCAAACAACAGTAAAATAACAATCGCCCTTAACAATTTACCTTTACTTGCTATATTTGGCTAAAAATAGAACCAACTTTTATCCCAAATAAAAAATTTTCAGCAATGGCCAAGAATCCTGGAGCATTTTCCACTTATTTGTCAAATGCGCGTATGGTATTGACGGTAATAAAGCAGTGCAGTAGCTAAAGCAGTGCATTTTGACAACACAAGAAGGTTGAAGGTTTTTTTTTAAGGGCGAAATACACTACACAAAGGGCTTTACAAACCAAGCGAAAAACTTTTTGTTTCAAGCCGTTTGTGCTCTGATAAGCTTGCTATACAGTTCAATGCGAGCGGAAACATGAACGTTCGCAAAGGCAAATAATTCCATTTATATTCTTATGTGACGTTCTCACACATCTGTCAAAACTTGTCGTTGCAAAGCATTCGCATGTGAGCTTGAAAAAAGGCATATTAAATTCTATAATCTGAATCTCTATGTTTTGATGTACCAGCTATTGCTAAAAGTTAAATAATAACGCCGATATTGGTAAAAATCCGTTGTGCGACTAAAGGGGCAATTTGACGCTTTTTAAGCGCCAATACCCTTTGACCCGACTTTTTGAAAATTTTGATTTGTGGACTCTTTTCCAAAATTGTGAGCGACTCTTACCCCTCTTCAAAGATTTTTTAGGAAATGTTAACAGAACCATGCTGTTGAAAAAATTTTCGTCCAGTAAATGCGAAAAAATGCATCACTTAAAACCTTGAAGGGAAATGCCACTCTTCTCCTTGCAGCAACTAGATTTATGTGTATGTTTCCAACCCTGTTTTGTGCAAAGCTTGTCCCGCTTTTTTCTTTTTAAATTCAACAGATTTATTCTTTTACTAGTAAAGAGTAAAGCTACTAAACGGGGTTTCAGACAGGGCGACTCCCTTTCACGTGACTTCTTTAATCTAATGTTGGAGAAGGTAATAAGAGCTGCAGAACTGAACCGCTCAGGAACAATTTACTATAAGAGCGTGCTGGCTTATGCCGATGACATCGATATCATCGGCATCGATGCCGATGATCGAAAACCGCAAAGTCTGTTCTGCCTTTTCCAAGTTGGATAAGGAAGCAAAGCGAATGGGTCTGGTGGTAAACGAGGACAAGACGAAGTATCTCCCGTCACCAAACAAACAGTGAGCAAATTCGCGCCTTGGCACCCACGTCACTGTTGACAGTTACAATTTCGAGAAAGTAGAGAATTTCGTTTACTTGGGAACCAGCATTAACACCGATAATACTGTCAGCATGGAAATCCAACGCAGAATCACTCTTGCCAAGAAGTGTTACTTTGGAGTGAGTAGGCAACTCAGGGTAAAGTCCGCTCTCGACGTACGAAAACCACGCTCTATAAGTCACTCATCATGCCCCTGCTGGTATATGCCGCAGAAGCATGAGTGTTCGAGAGAAAGATTTTGCGGAAGATTTCTGGGCTTTTACGCGTTGGCGACGGCGAGTACCGCAGACGATGGCGAATTAAAATACAGCGGCCCCGCTGGCTTGGTCATGTCGTTCGAATCGACACCGACGCTCCAGCTCTGAAAGAATTCAACTCGGAGCCCGCTGGTGGTAGCAGAGGAAGAGGGAGGCCCCCACTGCGATGGAAGAAGGTGGAGAAGGACTTGGCTTCACTTGGCGTCAATAAAGCGCCAAGTAAGAAGAAGAAGTAAAGAAAAGCAAAAATTATACATTGGCCCTTTTTTCGTCAATGACCTCGTTTCTGCGACTTTCTGAAAATTCTCAATGGCAACACTGGTGACAAGCCTCTTGAGAGACAAACAAAAGTCAAAACTTTTTATTTTCAAACCGCTTACGTTGTGATCAAACCGCTACGTCAGCCAGAAAATTACTTTTTTCTTTTGCTTCATGTTGTCAGATCTTGTGTAGTTGGATCATGGTAAATAGCATGGGTCATTCTGGTCACACTGTTCGCAAGAAAACTGATGAAATGGAAAAAGTAAACAAAAAGAACGCTTGAAAGTGATAAAAGAAAACCGACAATAATGAAAAAGGCGCAAAACGCAAAAAGAAACAGAATGCAAGTGGAAAGGTAATCGAAATTTGCAATAAAAGACAAGACACAAACAAGACGAAAATTTATCAAAAAAATACGTGCTCTTACATTAAGTAAAACTTTTCAAATTAGCAAAAAATAAAAAAGTTTCGCTCCCAAGAAAAACCTATCTGGTTTAATGAAACTTTTGAAACCTAGCTGGGTGCATCATGACGGTATGATCTTTTGTACTGCTGGTCGTTTGAGAATAAATCTGAATGAAAAAATTATATAAATATTTTTTTTTTAATCACTGCTAAAGATAAGCCAATATTCTCCGTGGATGTGCACCAGGAATGTCTTAAATTTGCCACTGGCGGTCAGGGCTTGGATTCCGGGCGTGTCGTGATATGGAATTTATTACCAGTACTATCGGAAAAAGTAGAACAGGATGAGAACGTACCAAAGATGCTATGCCAATTGGACAACCATTTGGCATGTGTAAATTGCGTTCGTTGGTCACCTAATGGTCAAATGTTAGCTTCGGGGTCGGATGATAAATTGGTTATGATTTGGAGAATGTCAAAGGTACAATAATATTGAAAGCTTACATATCGTTACCTTAATTTAAAAACGTCCTATCTCACATCGCCGCTGTAATACAAAACGCCGTAACTAAGTAAAAGTCCATAATTAAAAGTTCATAATTAAATTTTTGATTTATATCGTTGTATGCAGTAGGTACAAAATTTTAGGTACCTTAAATGTACTGTGGTATAGGTTTTGAGGTTTTTGAATAATCATTCAGCCTTATCCTAAGTTTCCTTCGGTAAACGAGGGCGCCATTGAACTAAGAAGGTCTTGATTAAGTAAGATCAGCTTTCAAAACTTTTGCTTAGAAAAACAGTTCAAACCCTGAACACAGTGTTATAAGCGCCGAACATTTCACCGTAAGAGCTCTAAAACTTCCCTCCTAAATATCTCAAAATTTTGACATGGTACGGATTTTCTAAAAACGGCATCGTAATCTAGGGGCCAAAATTAAGCTTACGTGTTTGGTCGTTTGGCTGTGATATTTCAAAACTTAAAAATTTACCTACAGTGTAATGATTATTTTATGATTTTTATTTTTTTCGCTCACCCGAAAATTTTAAATCCGCCCATAGTAAATCATGGAGATCAAAAGGGGAAAAGTAAACCGGTTCGGGTAAAATGAAAGTCATGTATTTACTATGGCCGGAATACAAATTTTCGGGTGATTTTTTTTCGGGCGAAACTCAGGATAAGGCAGATTATCGTTAATCTTTATTGAAATCGAAAAAATAATAATTGTAACTTGCAGTAGGAAAATTAAAACTGCTTTACGACTTGTTGATTTGTTTAGTTCAAATTTATAAAATAATGATTATTTTTCGTCCCTAATTAAAAATTAAAAAATTTAGGGGCCAAGTGGAGTTTTCGGTACGGGAGGTCTTCAAAAAAATGCCGAATCATGGAAATGTACGGCTACTCTACGTGGGCACTCAGGGGATGTGCTTGACCTGGCTTGGTCTCCTAATGAACGATGGTTAGCCAGTTGTAGTATTGATAATACCATCATCATCTGGGATGTACAATCTTTTCCCAATATGGTTACAACTTTGAGGGGCCACACTGGATTGGTTAAAGGAGTAGCGTGGGATCCCCTGGGGAAGTTTTTGGCATCTCAAAGTGATGACCGAAGTGTTAAAATGTGGAAGACCAGTGATTGGAGTTGTAGCAGCACTATTACTGAGCCCTTTAAAGGTTGCGGCGGCACCACTCATATACTTCGGTTATCTTGGTCCCCGGATGGACTGTACCTAGTGTCAGCACATGCTATGAACGGCGGAGGCCCTACTGCACGCATTATAGAACGAGAGGGATGGAAATGTGACAAAGACTTTGTAGGTCACAGAAAAGCTGTAACATGCGTTCGGTTCCACGACACAGTCTTGACAAGGCAGGCATCCAACGCAGATAGAAAACTTCAGTATTGTTGTATGGCGATGGGCTCCAGAGATCGATCGTTATCAGTTTGGATGACTGCATTAAATCGACCATTAGTCGTTATACACGATCTATTCAGTGATAGCATATTGGATCTTTCTTGGGGACCAGCAAAATGTATTTTGATGGCATGTAGTGGCGATGGAACAGTGGCTTGCTTGCAATTTTCTGAAAGCGAACTTGGAACTCCTGTTTCAGATGAAGAAAAGGTTTGCAGAAAATCAAAGTTGTTCATAACTTGTTCAAATCTTTATAACTCATATATTTTTAGAACTCGTTGTTTCAAAAAACATACGGAAAAAGTGTAACCCTTGAAAACGGTTCTAGTGGTGGAGCTGACATACTGATTGAAAATCCCGAACTTCTGGGCGAGACACAAGAGAAGCCTATGCCTCCCAGCTTGCCAACAGCAAATATTAGTAAACAAAACTACAACGTTACTCAGCCAACCGCGTTGGTTGCCATATCGAACGGACATTCCGAATTGCCTTCTACAAATTTGTGTTCAACAGGAAGCGACGAAGTGCGGCCAAGCAATACTAATGCAGTTAGGAAACAAACAGAAACTAGAACTGCTGACGGAAAACGACGCATTACTCCAGTTTTTGTAGCACTTAATCAAGATGTGAGGTAAGAGCGCACTAAATTTCTTTGTTAATAATAACTGAATTGTGACTAAATCATATAAATTGAAGTGAGTCTCCGAACACGTCGCACCTTGTATCGAATTCTCCAGCTGTAACAGCATGGAATTCCAATACATCAACAGCAATAACGACAGCAAGCATATCTGCAGAAGTGAATCCACCAGGAACGAGCACATTTGCCAAACCGACGATAACTGAGGCCCAAGAAATGTGAGAATTAACAATTTTGAATTAATCATCTCATTCGCCTATGTAACGCACTTTCTAGATGCTTGGATGCCCGACTTATAAAAACTACATCATCTGCTGCAAAATTACAGCCCCAAAAAGCGGAAAATAGTTCGGTGAAGACATTCCCGCTCATTGTCACTTCAAAGTCATCTACCAGCGCCCCCTTCAGCGGAGCAACAACCTTGGCAACTGATCATTTACCCACAGCTGTGAAACCATACCAAGCTTCTACTACTGGTCCAAAATTGGTTATTAATAGCAACACAAAATGTGAATTCCAAAAAACTGCCCTAGACCATAGAGTTCATGTTCACAATGGGTATTTAGGTACTGGTAGTGGGTTTTTGGCAAAAGTGACCGGCTACAATATACAAAGGCCGGCTCAGATAGAAAAACTTTGGGAAATTTTAGTTGGTTTGTATTGGATGCAGTTTTAAGAAATTCGGAAAACTCTTATCTTGTTTGTCTTTTTAGGTTCGCCAATTGTTAATTTGAATTTTTGCCATAAGCACGTGATGCTGTGCAGTATGGATGGTACATTGCGTTTGATGGATATGCATACTGGCAGAGCCAAAATGCCCGTTATAAGTATAAGTTCAGCTGCGGTTCAGTGCACTTTCGTAAGTAAATTTCATGAAATCGTCAAATGCAACGTTTCGCCAGGGGCATCATAAATATGCATCTTTGTAGGTTCGGTTGTAGTTGGATTCTAGCCTTTAAAGTCCCTATTTCTCCATCCAAAAACTAGAAGTAAAACCCATAGAGATTAGGCCGCCTCTGTCGGATTGATGGCTGGCTAAAGACTTTTTACCCGCTATCGGTCCAGTGGTCACTCGGTTATTTCGGAGACAAAACTAGTAAGCCACGTAAAATTAAACAGAGGGTACCACAGGATGTCCCCACTACTATTTAATTATTACATTTCAAAGCTTCCTCAACCACCAGAGGGTGTTACTATTGTCTCCTATGCTGACGATTGTTCGATCATGGCGTCTGGGAATGGAATTGATGACATGTGCTCCAAAGTAAACGGTTATCTCGCCGAACTTTCTCGCTTCTTCACTGCAAGGAGCCTTGCCCTATCCCCTGCGAAATCCTCGGCAACCCTATTCACCACCTGCACAAGGGAGGTCAGACTGCAATTGGGTATTCACGTCGATGGCGTAACAATACCGCCGGTGAATAACCCCAAAATCCTCGGGGGTTACCTTCGACAGTTTGCTCTCCTTCTCGGCGCATACAACCGCAATTGTCAACAAAGTGCAGAGCCGAAACAATGTCCTCAAGTCGCTGGCCGGCAGTACTTGGGGCAAAGAGAAAGAAACGTTGTTGGCAACAGCCCATAATGATTCCATCATAGGTTTCAGAGGTTGAAAGTAGAGAATACACGCTAACAAAATCCCTCACGTCGATAAGTCATATGAAAAAGTTAATGGAGAAGCGAGAACCGCTACATCCAAGCCACTAATAATATATGCTATGCTAATGACATAGTCATAACTAGAGGGAAGTTCGAGAGCAGTTCTTTCAAAATGGACTGCACCTAACGAAAGGATAATGTTCTTAGATGGAATTCAACACCAACCTAGCCAAAATCTCACGTGAAGCACAAAATCACTGGTGTTTGGTTTCAAATTCGGACCAACTGGAACGTAATAAGATTTTCTTTTCTAATTGGATCAACGATTAAAATTAATTAATCGTAATCACAACCGACAATTAACAATTAAAAAATGTAATCATTAATCGTACAGTTGATTACGATTAATTAATTTTAATCGTTAATCGTGATTAACATTTTAATGGTTTATTTTTAATCGTTAATCAGATTAACATTTTGTCAACACTGGTATGCGCCTAAAAATATTCAAGGGGATTCATATTTAATTCAATAGACTCTAATCTTAACCTTATCCTGACAAACCCAGACGGCTTGTACATTTAGTGTTAGAAGTCGTCTTATCGGACAATAGTATTTGAGAAGAAAGAAGTATATGATTGTTTCTCAGAGTAGCACATAAAGGTGAAGAGGGAAATGAGATAGTGTACGAACTAGCTAGGATAGCCACAACTTCATTATGGCCTGAGCCATTCCTCATCAATCTTAATTAGGTATCGTCAAAGGTAATCGCACAGGACACTGTAGACTGAGGGTTTGCCTGCACAATCTAAGCATTAGGTTTAACGAACTCTCGTCTCTTCTGTGAATCGACCAAAGAGACAACATTTCATCTTTGTAGTTGTTGTAACAGCATAAACAATTCTCGAAGAGTTTTTGACAGTCAATTTTCTAGTCGATTGCGATGATGACTTACTTCCTTAAGATCCCCTGGAATTTTTGGGGTCTTGGTTCAACAGAAGCATTGTCAAAGGCAGAGAGTATAAATCTTATGTCACAGTGCATACCTCATTAATACATATCTAAGTTGATTCTTGTAATATACATTTTTCGTTTTCTTATTTAAGTGTCCCAGTGGTCGCTTGGTTGGTGTGGTTACCGACTGCGGCACTTTACGCATCTGGCACATTGAGGAGCGGCGTATATTTTTATCAACGACTTGTAATGATATTGGCGGAAAGCTAGGCACGGTTGTACAATTTAATATCACAGAAGACGGCATACCGATGATTTTATATGCCAATGGTAGTGCTTATTCATATTCGCCGCAACTGCAATCATGGCTTGTACTCAATAATAAGGATCCTCTAGTACGTCATGGTCTGCAAACCACGATTCCTAAAGATTTTGAGAAAAACTATTTTTCATATCCATTGATTTCCACACAAGCTGCAACCAATACATTTGCTGCCATGAACACTTCAGTAGATATGTAAGTCATATGAATTTCTTATCTGCTGAATAAATGAAATGCTCTCTTTTTCTGTGTATTTAGCAGATCAGCTAATACCTCCCATTTATTAAAGTTGTTTGTTCGTTATAGGAATATGCAGGACTGGCAGTCCAGTGCCAAACTGAATTTTATAGAAAATCAACTTATGATAGCAGAAGCCATTAATTCCCCCGAAGAATTGATTTTCTGGTACAACATGTACGCGTATCAGCTGGCGCTTAGCGGGACTGAACAACGTTTAAGGATATTACTGGATGATTTGCTGGGCTCTTCACCACGTAATGGCGGGCTCGATCACAAAATACTGGTAATTTGTAAATTTTCAAAACAATATCAATTCTAATGTGTACATACATACATTTGAATGTATATTTATCCTTAAAAACAAAAGGCAGTGCCCAAGCATCAATTATTAGAGAACGTGCTGAATACACTTAAACCGCATGTAAAATGGCAGCGGTTGTATATGGAATATCACGAGCTGTTCGAGTTTTGTATGAGACCGGGTTCAAGTGTTGTCACAGATGTCGTTATGACGACTCCTCCAAATACGAATATGGAAACCGAGGCAAATTTGTCGAAATCAAGGGATGTAATGTAGGCATTGTATATTTTCGAATTGTTAACGAAAAAAGAAACAAACGACTGCCAACCGTTATAGTGCGATAAACGACCAAAGTCGGCCTGTAAACAGGTTAAATACCATGCAATTATTGTTGAAAAATTTAAAAACAAGTTCAGCACAGAGTTGTATTAGAAATCTTTAACAAATCATGGAGAAACACATAGTGGAACGTGTATTTGCCTAAGGACTGCCACCACAGAGTTATTCCCCATTTAGGCATTGTTTATGCTGCTACAAGTAGCCTGTTCGACAACCTGAAAATTCGTTCCCACGACAGTCGGGCCTACGTAACCGGAACGACCCAGAATTATATTTGGCAGAGGAATCTCCAAAAACTACAATAAAAACCTGATAATTATCAAAAAGTATCAGATTTGGCGTTCATATAAGCGAACACTTCCAAAGTTGTTTATTCTTACTGGTAAAAATGTTCTACAAGAAAAACAGCTGATCTGATTGAAATGTATAGCTTCTTTTACTTTGAAATACATATATACATAGCTTTACATTTTGATTCTTATTTGTTACGCAATTGCATGTAAAAAACTGTGATCAGCAGCATCTTAAACTTTCAAGTTTTAAAATTAAGCGTTGGCTTACCTTTTTAATTTTTGTATTGAGATACAATTTTTCATTACTCCCTTGTTGCTGTTGTTGTAGCGGGTGCTTAGCCGTTCATTACTCTTCTGCAAGTTGTGCTGAATAATTTTATTAGTTATTTCCCATTGTGTCTCCTTGCCTTCAGTCACGAATGGCTATACAATTTATGAGTCCTAGCCCCATTATGTATGGGGACTGGTGTCTACATAGATGCTGGTCTAGTAACCATGGCTACACATATCGTACTTTGTATTATGTATAGCTACTAATCTCAGTATAGAGAAAACGCAGACATGTACATTTCAAAGTAATTCATGTTCAATTCAAAGCAACCGTGTTCATTAAATCTTTATCGGAATCTTCCGTATACAACACTGCGCTGAACTGTTTCCGAGCATGTTAATTGGCTTAACAAGTTAACTTACTGCATTTTATTTAACATGTTTGCGAGCTGATTTTCCCGATTTAACAAGTTAATTGGTGTATTTTTGAATGTAGTGCTAGATCGAGTTGAAAACGTTTTTCCATCAATTTGGCAAGCGTACAAGTCTTTTTTTATTGCATGTACATACATTCATAATATAAAAATTTTATAATTTATAAAGAAAAATACAAAGAAAAAATTATGTATGTTTTTGTCTTAATTTCGCTTCATCACCTCACTGCATATACGCAGGACCAGGAGTGGGTACGCTTTTCAGCGGTGAATCAAAATCTATTTCTGGTTGTTCAGGTATTGGACCTTCGTGCATAGTCGCACCGATCCGTTCCTGGAGTGTTTCATACAGTTTGTGGACCGTTTCGTTATGGCCAGTTGTGGGTTGAATAGCCTTCATGAGTGTAGCCAATCTCCCGGTAGGCAATTTATTGTGCACATACCACAACAGCTTTAACATATGCCTCGTAACATTATCGCGTGTCAGTCCAGCGAAGAGGAATTCATCGAAGAGCGTAGTACAAAAATCTTCAGTGGAAAATTCTTCCGCCATTGGGATAAGCAATGCGATCTAAAAATTCAATGCATTAATTTGATTTGAGTTGGATATGTAGTACATATATGTATATCGAGACACATATCGTTCGTTACCGTAATATAAATAAGCACTATCTCCTTTTCTTGAAAATCCTACTTTGTACAACTTATCACTAAAAACCTAATGGAAATTGAAGGCTTGAATTAAAAAAAAAAAATAACTTTAAAGAAGTTTCCAACTAAAAAATGCAAAATATTGTTAAGTTTCTGAAATAACTTTGCAAAAAAACAAAACTGGTTGGTAGGGCCTTTCTATATATAACTAATAAGGTAACGATATGTACTGTGAGCGTTAAATTAATGTGTACACCTAAGTCTAATATAATCAGCCCCATGCTTCGACAACATTGACATTGTCTACTGTGGTGGTAAAATAAAGAGCGAAATACACCACACAAGCGGCTTGTCAAACATACTTTTCCCATTTTGCCATAGACCATGCAAACATGAGTCGTTCAAGCACAGAATTTTAGTTTTCTTTCGGTTAACAATGTAAAACATTTTAGTTTTCTACCATTATTCTCCCTTACGTCTTCACTTGGTGAAATTTCAGTTGCAATTGAGGCGATTTTACCATCCACATCGCAAGCGGTTTGATCAAACGTCAACATGGCGGCCAGAAAATCAAAAAAATTTGATTTTTGCTCAAATTTCCCTCAAGCGGCTTGTCGAACCTTCAAACACCCCATAGACAGCACAAATGGCTTGAGGCAAAGGGAAATTTCGCTTAGTTTGTCAAGCCGCTTGTGTTGTGTATTTCGCTCTTAAGTAAACGACGAAAATCGTCGAAAAGTGTACAGTTCTGCAAAGTTTTACCGTGAAACTTTCTATACCATTCGGCTCTCGAAAAACGACTTGCATTCGACACGACTCTCGCAATGAGGGTGAATATCGTCGTTTAAAGTGCAAAACCGCGAATCGTCATTCCGCAAAGCCGCGTAACTGACATTTGCTGCCAAAAATTGGATTTGCTCATACAAGCTCTTGGCTCAATCATTATCCATTCGTCGCGGTTTTAAATTTTGTTGATACGCGGTTTTTTTACTTTAAACGACGATATACGAAAATATAGTTCATTCGATAATATCAACCAAATAAATCAAATAAGTTTTGATTAAGCGTTATATGGAAAAAAACGCACAGCACCCTTCACATAGAAGTTCTAAAGGTCAACGGTAATTTTTAGCGAGCCAAAATTTGCATTTTGAGCTACAAAAACTCGAAAATTTTCTAGAAATTCTGAATACAAATCTTAATTTTGATGATAATTTTTTGAATTTTCGGGAAATTCATACTGTGTGTGCAACTTTGATTTATATGGTTTATATTATGGGATGAACTATATTTTGATAAATAATTAATGCAAACATTGTTCATGCAAATAATTGTGAATATTAAATTATATGTGAGCATATTGTTGACTTACAAGTGAATGTAGGAATGGATCTTCGTAGGCACGGTCATCCTTGCAAGCAGACAATATTGCTAAAACGCGCAGTACGCCAACACGATCTTTCAGGCGTGCCGTATGCAAAGTGTAATACATCGCCAATATGCTGGCTACAGAACTCTCCTGAATATACGCCTCAACGGCATCTGGTGCAGGCCCCGAGTGCTCAATCGTGCAAAGTGCAGATTCACGCTCGTCTGGAGGTAATTTCGAATGCAAACTACGACATTGATCATCCACCATAAGTGACATTAGCGCAGGTAAAAACTTTGTAACAACCTGGCAGTCAAGTTTTGGTTCCTTAAAATCTTGGGAATCAATCATTACCCACGCACTCAATCCCAAGGCGAGCATACGCAGCAATAAGATGAGAATGGTATTATCGCGAGGCAGTCCTTCGTTATTAATTAAATGTTGTAAAATTTTAATTGCTGACGTGGCTAAAAAATTGATAGCATATGGGTCGCATAACGTCATCGATAAATCGCCCAAAACCTGCTCTTGTCCACGTTTTATGTTGTCTAAAAAACCTTGCAGCTCGCGAGATCTTTTTATGTCAACATTCTTCTCGCGAATGCAAGCATCCAAGCACCAAGTAAATTTATGACATGGATCCACGGAAATTATTTCCTGAACCTCCAAATCGTGAAGTGCCATCAACAACTCGGCACGAAGAGTACAATAATGAACATTGCGGGTTCGTAAGAACAAGGTGCGTAAAAATTGCAATACCATGTCGTATAGTTTCACACTCTGCCCTATCATATTCGCCAACTTTTGCACTACTTCACCCTGTCGCCGCACCTTTGGCGATGGGTGAAAGAAAAGATTGTTTAAATTTGTATGATCGAATAGGACATGTTCTTTCTCACGAATGTACTGTGATAAAAGTGGCGAAACTTCGTCACCGAATAGAGATTGATTGTCGCGCCAAATCTGTCTTTTTACTTCCGTGTCTGTATCCGAATAGAGTTCTCGATCGCGTACTAAAATTCGCAAATATTTGTCATCAATATGTTGGGTATTTCGTAAAATCGCCATTACTACTGGTCTAAGCGCTTTAACCCTGACAACGGGAAAACTCTTTACCAACAATTCCTTCAATTTTTTGTCACGCTCACGCGGATCCTTTTGCCCCAACTCATTAATATGTGCAATCAGCTTTTCCCGCAACTCCTATGAATTTATAAATATCACTAGTCACTAAAAGAAACCAAATTCTGTTTTGCTTACCTCCATGAGCGAAGTGTGAAAATCCAGACGCCGCACACCATGCAAATCCAAAAGTGGCAACATCGGCCGCAAAGACGGTAAAAGCACACCATTTTCCAGCTACAAACCAAATAACATTATTTTCGAGATAGTATTTTGTGTCAAATACATATGTACAAACACAAACCTGAAAGCTTTCAATCGCCTTTAGAGGATCGGTGCATGATGTAAGCGCTTCTCGGAGATATGCTTGCCCTGGAATATTGACTTCCTCTAGGCCAGTACCAGCAAACTTCGGTCGTACGGACATTTCTACTAGTTTGGAATATATTTAATTTCTCACCGTGGACTTGTATTTAGAAAAAAAAAATCGTTTTTCTGTTCTTTTTTTTTGTTATGATTTAATGTTGCTTCCGTTTCATTTTATTTCATCAAAGTTGAATGCAAAGTAAATACAGTAATAAACCTTTTTGAGTACTCCTCGGTTAAAATCTGATCAGGGTTGAAAATGAGAAGGAGCATGCATTTTGTTGATTCAGAGTTGTATACAAAATTACTGTGGTATGAAAGGGAGCAACAACCGTACTATGGCAGAGTGGCGCAAGTGATGAATGTGTAATAGTGCCCGAAACTAATTGCAAAAGTGTAAAAACATTGCAAATTGTTGTCTATTATTATAGATACTAGTACAGATAGTTCATAGTTCATAGTTCAGTGTATAATAATTAATATTACACCGTACATGATAATGAACTGTTGAATACTGAAAACGCTTGTAACTTGTGATCACTCAAACTTGGGTCAAAGAACGTAGATAACAACCCTGCAAACCAAAGTTCCCGAAATCTTAAGGAAATCGTTAGGAGTATCTGATTTCTGTAACGATTTTTTTACGAATTTTCAAAGAAAATTATATGAAGGGGTTGACACGAACTCGTAAAGAAATTTCTGTACGAAAAATAAAGAAAATTCTGAAAGATATTTTTCACATAGCAGCATTATTTTCGTTGCTTCACAGATTTTCTTCCGAAATTTCGTAAAAGAATGGAAGTGTGCGTAATTTATTTCATTTTAGAAAATTCGGCAAAAAATCGAATTAAATCTTAACGAATTCTTTAAAATTTCTTTACAATGCAGAATACTCTGAAAAAATGGTGGTAGTAGTGCACTTTAGCGAAGGTAGGTCAAAATGGACGGAAAAAGTTCGAGAGTGGTATCAATCGACGCGTCTTAACGCCAATAATAGCAATCCGAGACCTTCGCAGAGAACACCTTTCTGCGTAGGCGGAAAGTGCAAGTGTTTTTTGCAAATAACTTTTCAATGAATTAAAAATCTTAATTTCCTGTCTCGGATTGTTATTATTGGCGTTAAGACGCGTCGATTGATACCCCTCTCGAATTTTTTCCGTTCATTTTGACCTACCTTCGCTAAAGTGCACTTTTACCCAAATGGTTTGCAGGGAAGAAGGGACAACTCGTTATAATTGTAACGAGTTGTCCATTCTGGTTATCTACGTTCTTTGGCAAAAGTGCTCCGAGGATGAAAATGCCAAAAATGGCACTATGTGCCTGCTTTTCCATCACTGACCTAGACTAACGAAACGAAATAGGGTCCAAAACGTAACGTCAGAAGACGCGAAAACGCCAATAAAACAAAGTCATAGAAAATTAAATATGTATGTACATTAATAAATAGAGAATTGCTTGAGAGGAAAGGTTCGTAAAAAAAAAGAAAATCCAACCAAATGAGGGAATAAAGTAATGGAGCGATGAAAATCAACCAGAAAGAAAAAGTAAATTGCGTACAAAACCGTTTTGAAATTCATTTCGCAGTGAATTCCAGAAGA